AATGGCATTTTTTGCATAGGTATGGAGCAGTCTTGGTGTCTTTATGCTTAGTTGGGTAGCTTTTTGCGACAGGTCGCGATTGGAATGTTTTCGGATGTCCGTCACAAGTGCTGCTGCCTTCGGTTGATGATAACGGCTACTAGGCAAGAGGACAGAGAGGTGTTCAGGAAAAGTGAAAATGAGAGAGCGAGGATTGTGTGTCAGAGGAGTGGGGGACAGCAGGCGCCCCGGCAGGTGCGTGTATGTGTGAATGTGAGCAGGCCGGCCGTCCTAGAAGATAAAGAGTCGAGATCCCGACTTAATATCGCTCTCACATATAAGTTGCCCCAAATTTCACACTCACAGTTTTTTCCTCTTGAATGCTCAGTCAACATCTGCCTATTGAACGCTTCTGGAAACCTCGTGTTTCTACTCAACCTAATTCTATCAAGCTTTTGAAAAAACCATTTGAAGTGTGTATCCTCTGGAACGCTATTTTGCGGGAATCTTCCTACTTGTCATCCGGTTTTTCTGGAAAAAAAAACTTCGTTATTCTTCATCGATTCATCGCAAAGCTTCATTTTGTCAACCCACACTTGTTCTCGAATTTCAGCTCAAAAAGGGAAGTTTTGCCGAGCCAGAGCCATATTTCTGTAAAAATCATCAGTAGGGCGGATGCCCAACCATGTCGGAACGTTTGCGCGAACGTGTGAGTCAATTTTTTTCCCTTATAACGAGTGAAGGCTATCCTACCATCTTTCATTTTTACGAGGCCGTGCTTTGAGAGCTGTTTGTGGACATTTGATAGCAGTTTGGATAATGTTGTTAGATTATACACTTATCAGTTTATTACAGTTTGGTTACTTTACTGAAGAGCTGGACGGACGTTCAACGTCTCCAGCTGGCTCACGGTCGCCGAGACGCGCCAGTCGATCTCCTCGGCAGCATAATGGGTGGGTACCCCAAGAATGCTCAACTAAAACTCGTCAAAGATTCTTCCTAACCAGACGGTGAAAATGCGATTTTTATTTCACTTCAAACTGATACCTCCTATATTTATTTTTTTTAAATTTTTCTTCCTCTACAGTGGGTATTGGGGAATGACTGGAACTGAGAGACGTTTGTGGCTTATTCTGTCTCGCGCCACTGGACGGGGAAAATTCTCCGAAATCATCCGGCCAGTAGGTCCATTTTGAAAAGCGTCTAATATTATCAAACTCGCAGTTGTGAGACAATGGAGAAAGAGGCCTTTGAGATATCCCAACCATGACCTGACTATCTCAAAAGTACTGTTCAGATATAGTCATGAACCTTGCCCTTTCAAATTTTTCTTGGAGCTTAAGGTCAACTTAAGGATTCAGGCTTTTCCTGGCTTTGACCATTGTACCCTCTCGGAGAAGCCCCAAGACGTTTCAGTCATTATTCCCGATCACAACCCTGCACTTGCTATGCCACAACACTCTTGATACCGATACCTAACACCTAACAATCATTTTTCACAAACTCATTGCAGCCTTCATTGCATCGGGCTGGTAAAATGCGATACAATGTGCCCAGGTGGTCACTGTTTGGGCGATGACACCCCAGTGTTACACAGAACCGACGGACACCTGATGCAGACCGCCTCATAGCCCGTAACACACTGAGGTGCAACCGATCGATGAACACTCTTGAAACTATATAAAACGGATTTTGAAAGCGGTATATAAGACTATGTACGCTGACTCACCTAGTAAAATGAATAAAAAATCTGGAAAAGCACGTGAGATAATTTGCCCGGAGACTACCCGAACTGAGGGCTTTTTGAAACCTGATCGTGAGACATTCTTATCATCAACAATACTACTTGGGGACTGCTACTCAGATGTGTTGTTATTCGTTGCCCGCTTTTTTTTTCAGCGGTTTTCATTCTTTAGTACATGAACACTTCATCTTGCTATTCACCGACAGATGCTGACCTTGTGTTCTGACGTGGAGGACACGACAAATGACTACGTTTACAACGAGACTGCAAATATCAGGCGTGTCAGGAAAACCCTGATAGCGAAGTATAATAGATTTTTCACTATGACTATTCGAGAGCCATAGTGAACACTTTGAGTTGCGCGATCTTTATGTCATTCGCACCGAAAATAAGAAGGAATTTGGACTTGATTCAGCGGAAAAATAATCAAGGATAAATAGGAACAAGTTAAGCGGTTGCGTGAGACACTGGTAACTGCTACCATACGAAAATGTTATTCACGTGGAAAGCTGAGCTGCGTGTCATGTGAACAAGGTAATGCTATCCATTTCTGACCCAACAAAAACAGACCGCAAACAGAGCAGCTGAAATTTGCTCCAAATGCAAAGGCACGCTTTGGGATCAGGCACGCTCACCTGTTCCATACCCAAGCGTAGTAGAGAAGCCTACAAGGGATGACATCGGGACCTTTTCGCGGCTTGAAGGTGCGCAGCAGTTGCGGCAGCAGTTCCATTGCGGTTCGATGTCTGTGGCGCTGGAGCAACTGGAGCTAAGCACGTGAAATTCGTTCAACGGGATGCTGCTGAAATACGAAAGGCTTTTATTCGGGGCGTAATCGTGGTTTCTTTTTCTCCTTCTCTTCCTCTTATCCTGATCACTCCTCACCTGTGGCTTCATTAGTGAACGTTCTTTCACACCTATTTTATCCCAATTGCCTTTAACTCTTACATTTGTCCCTCCCCCCATTTCACTAACACTTCGCGCGTTAACTTGTTGTGGACATGGGAGATCGTAAGGGACGGGTCTCACCTGTACGCGTAATGACTTAGTGGAGAATTGATAACGTCGGCGGTCGAAGAAGGGGAAATATACTAAATTGTGGAACAGGAAGGTGGACTTCCTTGAGGTGCGCACCGGCACGCAATTCGCAGTGAGGATATGCCCCCAGTGGTGTAGCGTAGCCATGCCCGCGCCGCTCCCCCCCCCCCCCCTGCATGCCCGCCGGTAGGTACCGCTCGTCATTTACCTCTTGCCGTCTGCTAGAGATAGAGGGAGAAAGCGTTAGCATTGAAGAGAGCGGCACCGATGAGAGCTGCATCAAAGCCGGGCATAGATTTGGTCTCATTTGCCAGGCTGGGCCGTTTCTAATGATGTTTGCTTTGTCGCTGCACCAGGCCACTTCTCCAATGATTTTTGATGGACTGCTTTTCATCATAACCTTGAAAAGTGACATGTTTTCGGTGGAAAACCACAATTATTGGAGGCACGTTCCAGTATCAGGCGCGCTCGCCTGTTTCATTCCGGGGGCAGTGGACTTGTGAACAAGCTTTAATGTCGCGCCCTTTTCGCGGCTTGAAAGTGCGCGACAGGCGCAAGGAACTCGCCCGACCGCAAACCCACACCTATCTCCGCAAGCCCCACCCTCCGCTGTCGGCTGCCACGTAGCGCTGCTTGAAGCGCATTCATCGCAATCGCCCATCACGTGTCCGTCGCTCCCACAATCGCCGAGTCTGACGGACATCTGAGCGCGGGATTTTTGCATTCGACACAAATTTCTTGCAGTCCACAACAATCACTGTGAGACGCGAATATCGGATCTCGACGTATTTGCTGTTGACTTGATAGGAAGTGGCGTGAACAAGTTTATTTACCAAGTTCATTCTACAATATTGAAAAAAAGCGGGAAGAAAAAAATTGAGGGAACCGGAACTATCACAACAGATTATAGATGGATATTGAACAGACGGGTCTGCTTGGCGTCACTTCAACATTCAACTTCGGATGATGCGCACAGAAACTCGTCCACTGCGGTTGCGACGGCGCGGCTACGACCAGTGACGCGGGGCTCCGGACGATTCTGTTGACATACACTCCCTTTTCATACTTCACAGTATTCGCCACCTACAACCCACATTCAGCGACGAATGTTAGGTTTAACATTGCGAGTGGTGCACACTGCTCTCGAAGATATTTACTTAATGTTATAAGAATGCAAAATTAATTTTACTTATTATTATTTTGAAGTTGCTATTATGTAGTGTTATCATCACGTCAGCATGTATATTTGAAATTTCTGCCTCTCCGCCATATTGATGTAATGTATTCAAAGGATTTAGAGAGCCAAGAGAGATTGCGGTGGCAATTCCTCTAGTACGCGACTCTCGTCCAGAAATCAATCCCTGGCCAGCTCCTCCACAAAACATCCCTCTAACGTGTATCAGCGGGAATGTACGGTAAGTTTCCCTTTTACTGAGCATCATTCAGCCTTCACATGCACAAAACTGTATTGCCGTGGGGTGTCAGAGTCCGCGATCAGTCGAGCGATTCGCGCGACGGGTATTGGGCTCTGACATCTGCCTGTAGTGTTTTGGAGCTATTCCAGTAATGGAGCACCCAAAACGCCAGGGAACGAGGGGTTTTGAAGCCAAGAGGAGGGTAACGATCTACCTCGCATGTGAAGCAGGCAAATACCTTCTTTGAAAAAATCTTTCTCCACCCCGAAACTCTTTCCCTCCGGCAATCCTCGTATCCTGGCTCAGAATCGCTTCTCGCACCATACAGCATTAAAAGTCGTGAAATATTAAATTTTAAAGAAATGCAAGCAAAGCTCGTAGCACAAATTTGAAGGAGACACCGTAATCCGCACCAACTGGGGTACCATCCCCTGTTCCCCTACCGGAAGAGCGCCCCAATTACGACAACCATGTTATTGCCCTTTGTATCCGCCGGCCAAGTGCGTGTCCATTGAAAAGTTCACAACACAAGTGACGACGGCCGCCATAAAATGTTATAGTTTTCGCGGAAGAAATGATTAACCGGTTGCAATTATGTTGTCACCATAAATCACTAATATCACAACTACTGAAGTCAGTCGTCATTTGATTTGTGGAATCTGAAGTGCAGACTTACCTCGCTGCCGGATACGAAGGCACAGTGTCGTGCCAGAATTAATATTATAGATACCGTATCTTGACTCGATGCCTTGTCTGTACTTATCAGTGAAAATTGCAGAACGCCTACAGCAGCACCTATTAGACCATCAGTGTCCCCTGTTGCCATGTCTCCTGTATCCAATGGTGGCAGTACTAAGACAGAAATCGATGACTCTACTACGTTGCTTACAATGCTCAAAGTTGCAGCTGCAACGAATACCAATGGTAGGATCGCGGAGAGTGAACAACGAAAAGGCAGTTTTATATTGTCATATCCTAGCGAATATACTAGTAAGAAACAGGTACTAAGTAGGTTATACCTTTCAAACTAGACTCTCTATCTATCAGTCTATCCAGAATGACGCATCAAAGGTACTGATCGTGATGGATGGAAGGTGTCGTGGTTGTGATGAGGGCGTTCAAGGTCGTTTAGACCTCTCGACGCCCGGGTATGGCTGGGACCGCCCCTTATAGCCGTTCCACCAATGACGTTCAACGACATAATCGAAACCGCACCACCTTTCAGCCATCGTCATCACTGCCTTTAACTAAATGAAGTGAGAGGGGATACAAGTAGTACACCGTCACGTAAGCGTATTTTTTTGGACAGGCAGTACACATCCTCCGGATACCTGACAGGAGGCCCGTCGCGCGGCAACAAGGCAGATTCAGCGGACGAGTCTGTAGTGATTTCGCATCAAGTTAAATAGAATGTACCATTGTACGTCCTACAACGCACATCATGCGCCGCGACTCGTTCGCTGACTCTGCACTCTCGCCGCGCGACGGGCCAGCTGTCGGGTACTCATATCCTCCAAAGGAGGAACAGAAACATTGCTGTTTCGAATTTGATAAGAACCCTCTGGAATTACTGGAAAACTTCAACAGTAACTCACTGCATTGACTTCTGTTATTTTGGGAGGTCATTCTGTGAAAAGTCGCGCATTCTGCAAAAACTGATAGCGCTCACTTACAGAGCTGGGAATGTGCTCCGCAAGTAAGGCCTTTCAAAACACGATGAAACGACGATAGTGAAACCACGGAAGAGTCAAAGCTCCGAAGCATTCAAAGTTGAAATCATTTCAGGAGTTCCTCGTGGACGGGAAACTGAGCTGAAACGGAAGATTCAAACATTGGAGGAAACCGTAGCTGAATATGAGCGGCAAAAGTACAACGTCATGGGAACCTTCAGCGAATACAGGTGAACTTGCAGCAATTTTCTCATTAGGATTAAAAACATCGAAATGGAGTTGGGAGACGACAAATTCAATGTGCCCTGCAAGGTGAAAATCGGTCGAGGAAACGGCATCGGCTCGTCGAAGATTTTCGCCTGTTCAGTCACGTTCTCCCACGCGGATATTCACTTTCGTCATCTGCTAGCCGTCTGTGCTCTCCGCGCGTACATTCGCTCTCGCACAATACAGAGCTATCTATGGTAGAGGCATTCCTCGACCGTCATTCACACTGGCCGTGGGTATCCAACGCTAAACATAGGATTGTGAAACACGCAGCAGGTTCGTTCAAAGTATGCTCATCGATAAGTGAAGAGTCCTACGACCCCCACATCCCATCCACATACTGACCGATTTTTTTTACTCTTATTCAGTGGTTCGTTCATTCTCCAGCTCCCCCTTTTTAGGCACAGGACAACATGTTCGCCCTCCTGATTTTTTCGCATCATTAGCGGTGAAGATGTAAAACCCCTCAAATTATATTTTCACCAGAACACATACAACTATTGACTGGAATTTCAGCTTGAACTGTCGGTTAATCCTGCTATTTCCGCAAATTTATGTGATCTGACACTAAGACCATTCCTCGATCCACATTTCTGTTTCTATTATACCAAGCGTTGAGACCAACTATGCAACCACGAAATAAGTGAGATGAAAATGTCAGGTAGGAAGCAGAAAGCAAGTACGAATTCACAAAGTCTCGCTTCGTCCGTATGCAATTCATCTAGGTCAGGCTTCAGGGCAGAAAAAAGAGACCTTAAGGCTGATGTCAGACTTTGCGAATCGCTATTAGCGATTCTCGCGATTCGCAAAGTCTGACATCGGCTAAGGGTGCGGACCGACACGCAATTTGCTTCGAAGGATATGCACCCGGCGATCTAGCATGGCCTTCACCGCGGCGCAGTTGGCGCGCTATCGGCGTAGTACGCCTTCCCTCGCTGTCTGAGGTTCTAGTCCTTCAACAGAGAAAACGTTAGCGTTGAAGAGAACGACATTGACGAGAGTCGCATCAGTGCGGAAATCTACGGGTCCATCTCTGAAGCTGAATGACTCTAATGATTCGTTTACCCTATTAGGTCGATAATTTGTTGAATAGCATCACTTCTAGACGAGAAATACCGCAATGTATCAGGAATTTCGTCTCGGTTTGAATGCGACATACTACTAACAAGGAGGGGGGGGGGTTTCTCAGGGTAAGTCGAGCCTCTTGGAAACGGTTTCTTTCATCTTGTAGGGACGCATGTATGGACCACAAATCCATGTTTCGTTTTCGCTGAATGGTTTCAGTGGTATCATGGTGTATGACACCCTTAATGGTTTGCTCCCCCGCGGCGAAATAATTTTGCGATGAAGGTTGGGAGCCATTTGTTGCCTTCGAAATGGTTCTGACAAATGATATGACACCTGATTTTTTCATTTAATGCGATTTGGCAGCGAACCGTAGGCGCCAACGCAAATGCAAAGTTTATTCGCCACGAGGGACCGAACCAATCACAGTCCATTATGCTTCTTTTTTGGTACTGCTAGAACGTTTTGTGTTCCCTACATGCGTCCCTACAATATGCAAAAAACCGTTTCGAAAAAGCACGGCTTATACTGAATGACCCCCTTGTAGGTTACAAAGTTGTTTTCACAAAGGTCAATAAAAACAGCTCAGGGAACTATTTCAACGATTATCACTCAATGGAACTTTTTCAGAGAGCGAGTAGCCGAACGAGAACGCAAGTTGGAAGCGGAATATTCCAGCAAAATAATCGCGCTCTCTGAAGAAGTGCTAGGAGCCAAAAAAGATTTCGAAGCTCGTATGAAGAGTTTCCAGGCACTTCAGGTAAAATGGATAGAACTTTTTTATACCTATTAGAGCTCTGATGTGCTTGTGATGAAACTGTAGATGGGTGATCAAAAGCGGAAATGTCATCGGTTACTTTTTACAGAGAGGGAAGCTTCGGAGTGGGTGAACTTGCTTGTGCAAGAAGGGAACTAGAGTTCAAAAATGAAACTTAAGCTATGGTTATCATGCAAGGCCCGGGATTTCTGATCAAAATCAAGCCTTCTCTCAAGAACTGCAGAGATTCGCAAATAGGAAGCATGTACAAAGCTGTCGTGGTGACTACAATGCCAAAGCGTAAAGTACTAGGGTGGAGCATTGGCCCCGCCAAGCACTATTACCCCCCCCCCCACTAATCAATATTATTTTGTTCCGCCGCTAATGAAGAAGGAGGCTCTATTTTTACCCTGTCGACCGTTTCTTCCCATTTTTCATTACTGATGTGTTACCTCACATCTCCGCTGTCGCTTACAAGCTTAAACTCTATGAGCTTGATCCCGAACTTGGACTGTGAATGCTCTGACTGCTTCACGCTGCGATATTCCCCCCCCCCCACCCACCCCCTCAAATTATAGTTGAGTTGAGGTTGAGACAGGAGTAAAAGGTTATGTGCGTTGAACGCAAGTTTGGACATATGCAATCTGTAGAGTGTTTTCGATGATGTGCGGTGCAAGGAGGCTTTTTACATACGACGAATTCAATCCGGCTACTACAGCCTGAATCGCTGCAGGGCTATGATTTACCACGATTTCCTCATGTTTAGGACAAATTTGAACGAGAGAAGGAGCAGGCGCTGGAAAAGTTGAGACAAGAGCATCAAAAGGAAATCCAGCTGTTAGAGCAACGATTTTCTGAGTCACAATTATTGAATTTGGAACAGAAGTAGGTGGAAAGCTTACAACGCAAAAGCTTCATACTTCGCAAATACTTTCTCTTTAGGTACATGATTGAAATTCAACGATTGGAAGAAGAGCGGAAATCACTGCGATCTGAAAAAGAGCGACTAGGGGAAACGTTCGAGATGAAGTTGCGTAGAGCACAATCGCTTTATGAAACGGAGCTCACAGCAGCTAAGATGCTCTACACCAAGGAACTTGAAGCGCTCAGGGACCATGAAGAGGCGCTGAAAGACGAACTTTTGGCGAGGTAACGTGACAAGCATAAGCTAATTCGACTACATTTTTTTCATATTAGTACATCTTCAGGCAAGACGAGTTTCATGACCGCCTACAAGAACTGCAACATCAGGCCAGAAGAAGCAGGGAGGAGCTAGCCAACTGCAAAAACGAAGTGGAAGCACTTGAACGCAAACTTGACTCGAAAGAGCTTGAAGTGCAAGCCATTAGTAAGGAGGTACGATAAATCGTCTTGCAACTTATATATGAGCTCATTCCTACCCTAGTTGTCAGCAAACTGTAGAACATATTATTCGGAGGACGATTGTTGTGTGAAATCTTCACCTCATCTGTGGAATAATCCTTAATCATTCGGTACAAAAAATTCGATTTAGTACCAGGACGGGCGGAAGTGGTGCAGTGACAAGTGGCGCGCTCACCACGCGAGCGGTCCGGGATCAATTCCTGGGTCGTGAGTCGCCCGGGCCAACCAAGCCTTCCATCCCTCCGGTGTCGGTTAATTGGTACCAGACTTGTCTGGGGGGATAAAAAACACTGACCTGAACATCGGCTGGCCCCCGCAAGTCATTGTATAGGCCACATCGCATTCAAATGCCACTGCGAATGTACAAATGGAAGTAGAAGTGCGTGCCGCATCCCAAAACGGGATTGATCAACGGCAAATGCTTTATCCTTTTATTTTATCAGGACGTGTGAACATTGTGAGGTATGAAAAGCATGACATAGCTACATCAAATACTTGACAATTTCCTCTCGTCTGTGCGAAAACGCTGCGCTCACTACCACCGTTTAATCGATCTCTGTATTTCCAAGTCATGATCCCACGGGTACCCAACAGGAGGCCCGCCGCGTGGCGAGATGGCAGGAGCGCTGACGGGTAAGCGGACGCGTCGCAGCACGTGCATGATAATGTGGGACGTTCTATACAAAATAAAGGATGAAGCAATTGCCATTGATCAATCCCTTTTTGCGGCATTGGGATGCGGATTCTACTTCCATTTGTACATTCGTAATTTCGTAGTGACATTTGAAAGCGATGTGGCCTATACAATGACTTTGCGGGGACCAGCCGATGTGCAAGTCACTGTTTTTCAGACAAGTGTGGTACCAATTAACCGACCCCGGAGGGATGGAAGGCGTGGTTGGCCCGAGCGAGCCACGACCCAGAATGTGATCTCCAGACCGCTCGCGTGGTAAGCGTGCCACTTGCCACTACACCACTTCCGCCCGGGACGTTCTATGGTCGCGCGAATTATCTTGGCGCGAAGTCACTGTAGCACGCGCTGCGACTCGTCCACTGACTGATCTGCGATCTCTGCCTTCGCGCTGCGCGACGAACCTCTTGTCGAGTACCCATATTTTCTCCGCGACTCTTGCGTTGAAGTTTGCAATGGATAACGACAAAATTGAGGTCACCCAATCAGCCACACTAGAACACGCGTACAAAAAGTGCCAACAGTCTTCCTTATACTGGAATTTCCAGCTGGAAGATGCTCGAGCAGAGACGAACGATGCATTAAAACGACTTTCGCATTCAACAAGTGAATACAATGCACATAGACAAAAATATCAACAACAAGAGGAGGAGCTGAGAAAGAAATCCAGTAAGAAAATTTTTTATGCTGATCGAAACCAGGCTAATACAGTACCAGTTCCTAACAACGTTAGCCGGAAGAGGTATTTCGGTTTCCATGATAGAGTTCCTTTTAGAGCTTTTGAATGTGGTAGAGGCCGCCAAAGCAAAGCTTGAAGTTGTCATTCGTGATTTGCAGACTGAAGTTCGAGCACTTAAGAACAAGGTGAGCTTGAGCCGTGAACAGACCTTTTTTGACATCCTTTGCATCACATTTTAACGAAATTCAGGGGATTGAAGAGAAACTAACCCTACTCCCTTCAAAGCTTTCTACAAATACAGCACTAACTGATATGTTTTTGTTTCGTCTAGATCATAACAGTTACATCTTGTGTTTGACCCGATCACATTGAAGCTGTGAAACGCATGGCAATTGTTAAAGGAATCTTCCACGGAAAAAGCTCCTCATTCCCACATAAAAACGATACCCCTTAGGGCCCTACCCTCATGAGCATAGCAAAAAGAACGGAATAGGCGTTAGTTTCGATAATACTATCCTACACACAAAATGATCACTCTTTCCGTGGAAGATTCCTCTAAGGTATCGTTTTCTGTGGTAAAGAGGGCGGAGCTTTTTTCCGTAAAAGATTCCTTTGATTCATTTTTCACGTGGGAAGAGAAAAGGGAAACTAGGCACTTAAATGCTGGCTTGCATGCCGGCGAAAAACCTCATCCCACCTTGGCCTTGGACAACACCTTCAAGAAGTGGATCTTACATGAAAACAGTTCTCAAAGGAGTTGTCAAAGATTAATTTTTAGGTAGAGTTTCTGGAGAAAGAACGTGCAAACCTTTTGAGTCAAAGTGAGAGCCAAGCCAAATTGCACAACTCTCAAGTGAACGCGCTTGAAGCGGTGAGTTCTTACAGGCAAAATGCTGAAGAAACCTGAAGGATAATTAGACCAACATGTTCAGTTGCAGGTTCTCGAAAGTGTGACTAAAGAAAAAGAAGCAACGAAGGAACATTACGAAAGCCTCTTGGTCAAAGAGAGACAACAGGTAACAACATTAGTGAACAGAGTGATTAATATGTAAACTCAGAAGGATATGCAGTCCGCTCCACGGTGTGGGACTTACATTTGGTGCCTATTATATCTCCCCGGAGCGCGTGGAATCCGTGAAGTGCCATGTACTTCTTGCCGGGGTCAACCATCATGCTGGACCGATTTCGAAAATTTGATACGTCCCTCCCCCCCCCCCCTCCAGAGTTAACCCTTCACGACCATCCACCACACTCGCCTGTAATCGTCATCATGCCCTCATTCTATAGTATTCGATTCTGAGACCATTCGACACAGCCCAAACTCCGCCCAGCTCTCCAAAATTACCACCGAGCGGCGGGGGGGGGGGGGGTATAGGTGTATACCTACCACGAAACCGCAAACATCCTCTCACCTCTCCTCTATTTCACCAACAGTTCTACTGCAACATTTCTTAGGAGGCTGGAACGGCAAAATTTTAGCGCCCAACCAAGTGCATCATCACTTCCCTTACTGTAACAAGCATTAACGCCACCTCGCGAGAAACGACCCCCCTTTTTCCACCCCAAATACGACCCCACCTCCCCACTCCTCGGGACTTGGTCCAAAGCACGGTTGATCCTGCTTCTTGCTCTCCGCTGCCGCACGGTACTTGTAGACTGTCACTGTCTTCATGGACTAAATTCCTCCAACAGTTCGATGTCCAACAAAATCTTCTTGCACTTCTATATCTTTATCGTATTCTTGATATCGTATTCTTTCTTCATATGTGAAAAAAAAACTGAAATTAGATGAAAATAAGTTCTAAAAAAACTGAATAAACTCTTCCGAGATAAAATAATTAGTAAGGTAAGAATTAGTTGTAATTTACTTGAAACATTCTTAACAAAAAATACGTCATACGGTGCACTTGGTACGTAGTTCAGACGATGGAATTCAGACGTTTTGAAAATTTTGAGCTCTTCTTCTGCTTATACCTCTCGAGAAGTCATTTTTATTCAGCCTCACTTTTTATTTTGTGCAAGCTTTCTGACATGATAGTATTCTTTCGCATCTGTTCTATATGTACATCTAATGTCTTTTTGAAAGAGGTAGTTTGATGAATCTAGGATACTAATTACATGTCACGATGTGTTGTTCATGCTTATTTCACAACACGCGGCGGTCAGTACTATAAATAGGTACCAACCACGCGTGCCCACCAGAGAATGCGCGCACCACTGTCCGAAAAAATTAAAAATATAAATATCATAAGCCTTGCTCTCAAAAAATCGTGACAGGCAGAAGCACGGGAACACGCAATGAAGAAGGAGTTCAGCAGTAAGCTCAATGAGCTTGAAGAACAGTACACGAGTCTGAAGGACGACCTGGAGCACTCGGCTAGAATGGATCGAGATGAGCTGAGAGAGGTGAGTCAACGGCATTTGTAAGAAGAGACGTTTCGCTTTCTATTTCGGATTCACTAATGGGTATTTTACTCTAATGCTTATTTGAAACATCACTTCAGATGACCCAACATGAGATTTCTGCCTTACGCACAGAGAAGACTTTACTGGAAGCCGAGGTCACAGCTTTGAAGCAAAAATTTCTCGATGATCATGACTCTGAGGTTTATTATTTGTTAAATTGTGTACTCTATTCTAGCAGTCTTGCAAATATGAATATTAGGATCAAGTCACGCAACAGTTGAGTATTATGGTAACCGAAACGGCAGGACTGACTAGGATTCTAGATGAGTATCGGGAACGAATCGGTAATAAAGGTAAGTCTACAGTCGTGCCGATTTCTTGATGTTCAACTCCGTTGTGCAACCTCTCAACTGATACCGAAAATGAATGCACATAATTACGAGAGGTGGCTGCACGCAACGCAAATGTCCACGTACCAAGATCGAGTTCCTTTTCGGTCTGAGCATTAAAAACCCTAAAACTTGACTTAATTGGCATTCATCCATCTCGCAAAGTCACCTAATCTGTATGTTCATTCGGATACAGAAAACATTTTATTGCAAGGTGAGGCAAATTCATGGAAACCAGGGGCACTTTTATCCTTCACGTAATCGTCCACAGAAAAATCAGAACATATCACACATAAATCACTGGCTTGGGATAAGTTATGTACGATAAGAACGAAGAGAACAAAAATGGGTTTGTTCACGTTAAGTATATGAAAATTACGAAGGACTGTTTCGCGATCAAGTTCTCGAAGTACATCTATCACGGATGTTGGCGACGGGAACGATTCCACTTGGTTCGGAGTGCTTGCGCTGGGAAACTTTTTGGCGTTTTCCCCTTATGGCAATAATATTTCTACATTCTAGTGTATCCCATTTGTTAGGGGCGTAAGTGGTGTAGGGGCAAGTGGCACGCTTGCCACGCGAGCGGTACGGGGATCAAATCCTGGCGTGAGTCGCCCGGGCCAACCAAGGCTCCCATCCCTGCATGTCGATTAATCGGTACCAGATTTGTCAGGAGGATGACTGAAACACTGACTTGTCCATCGGCTGGCCCCCGCAAGTCATTGTGTAGGCCACATCGCATTCAAACGCCACTACGAATGTTTGAAGGACGAATTCGCGATTGGAACGAAGGTCGAAGAAGGAGTAATTCACCTTGTTTAGGGACCCGCGGACCTCCTAAGGGTGCGGACTGAAGAGCAATTGGCATCGAAGCAATTGACCTCGGTGGCCTATTAAGGCTCAATCTTGGCGCTGTAGGTCAGTGCACGCCCACCGATCATCTGATCACTCGCCGCAGCTCAACACGTGGCGAGTGATTAGAGAGGTGAGAGAGCGTAGTGTTGGAGAGGGCACAGCGATGATAGTCGCATCAATGCTCAAATCAACAGGCAAGGAAGGGGTCCCATTTGTCGGGTACTGGGCCTTTCTCATGGTCTTTCCTTCTTTAGTGTACCACTCACCATCGCTAAGTTAATTTGAAATGGGTTGCCTTTTCAGCGTGAATTCGTCCTTTAAATGGAAGTAGAATGCGTGCCGCATCCTAAAAAGGGATGGGTCAACGGCATGCTTTATCCTTTTATCCTTTTTATCCTTCGGTTAGTCGCTCGATTTCTTCGATGGTCTCGGCCGGAATGGCCGTCACCGGAGAAACCCAAGACATTTTTATTTGACAGGGCTTGAAGACAAACCCCAGCAAATGCGGCAATTCTGAAACAATTCCTGGGCTCAAAAGCTCCGGCGACAACAGGACCGCATCCTTAAAGGCAAACCCCGGGATCAAACTGATGCTGAGAGCGCTTCGTAGTGATAGCTTAGCTGCGGAACGACTTGAAAGTGGTAGAAAAGCAAGAGAACTCTTTGGGAACGCTGAAATTAAGGCCCTAACCTTCAATAAGGTCTGTTGTGGTACGATGACGAGACAGGGCGATCAAAGAAGTCAAAATACGCGAGAGAGCACGTGTTTGAGAGAGCATGCTGATCTCTACATCAACGCACTGATCTAACCACCTCTCGCGATGGGTGGGAAGCGGTGAAATCGGGGTCGATGGTTGCAGGCCCGTAATGGTTAGCGCCCTAACCGCGCAATTTTTGCGACGAAGCTGTAGTGATTGAGGTAGGTACGGACCGTGCAACTTTCCTGGTAGTATCCTTCCTACTAGTCCGGCTAATCTCAGGGTTCGCCTTTAAGCAGAGGGACGGCTTCAAGATGTTCAATTTCATCTCTTTCGATGAGTGACTTGTCACGTCTAAGAACGGAATCCCGTTAAATCCATTGGGTAGTTCTTGGGGTCCAGCGCATGTATTAAGGTTCACCGTGGTCGCGATTTTCCCAAGGTAGCACTACAATAGACTTGGGATGAATTAGATTAATGACGCCTCAATACCTCCTGCAACCGTGACGGCGTGCCCGAAAATCTCAGAGCTTTTGTCTGCGCAAATGTTAATCGCATTGGGAGATAGCGCTTCTTGAGTTTTTTTTTTGACAAACTAGTGTTAACTCTTCCCTATCTTGAGCTCATCTCACTTTTTAAGAAGGATTTATTCAAATACTTAGAGTAGGTTGGGTACTAATGAAACATGCGACAAATCATTTTGGAGGTGCACGTATCAAGGCGGCGTCCAATCAGTGAAACTGCACATTCAGCAAAATTTTTGTATGAGTAGGGATTGTTAGCGGAATCATAAAAGAACAAGAAATGCCTTGGTACAACTTGAATTACGAAACAAATAATTTTGTATGACCACATCAAACACGAGATTTAAAGGGTACAAGATATTGAAATGGCAATTTTGAAGTGTTCAGACAAGGAAATCACTTCGCTACGACGTCGTCTTGAGCAGGAACAGACACTATCCGAAGAGCAGCTACGAGCAATCAAAGAAGAGTTAAAAAGTGAAATTTTGTCATCGGATGACTACCAAAACAATCTCATGGAAATAGAGCGTCTTCATTCACAAGTATGTCATATAATTGTAATTATTTTCTCACTACTAATTACTTATTACTTATCTCACGATTACATTGTTGACCTCATCAGATAGCCGACTACGAAAGGAAACGCGAAAAAGAAGAGGAATTCGAAGAAGAGCGCGCGCAGAATGAGAGGAAGTTGCAGGAAGAGAATGAAAAGCTCAAGGCTCAAGTTAGGAGTTTAGAGGAGGTACGCCACATTCATTATTCAAGTTTCTGTTCATGGAACTTAGCACGTTTGAATATATTATAAATAAATAATAATTTGAGGTGCAAAAGACCTTTGCTCTAAAGTGGTCTCTAAATTCACTAGATTAAATAAATTTCTTCAAGAATAATCAATATTGAAATCATGTCTAATTTGTGTTTCAGATCCCAAGATTGGGTACTCAGAAGGAGGAAAATTAACTTTTTCCATCTTCTCTTCTAGCGAAGGCGAAGCACTTCTTGAACACTTTGATATTGTGTCTTGAGACCGCGGGATTGTATAACACTTATTTTCGGTGGTCAATATGGAACAACTCAACTTGATGGATTTGTCTTAGCTTTATGTACCTTGGTCAACGATTTAATTGAAGTATGATGCAGTTACGGTGGCGAATTAGTTTCGAAGGAGTGAATATGCCAGGCTAGGAAGCATGCTCTAGCTAGTTGACCGATGTGGCGCAACAAGGAGAATATCCGGTCATTCGGTGTTTGATGGGATCTTGTATGAACTGGTGAGCGGGTTAGTAAAATTAGAAGTCAGCCTGAGCAATACAGCAGTCGCCCTGGTACCCTAGGTGGAAGCAGGGTCAACCCTACGTTGTTACGAGTAACAACGGGGGGGTCGTACCTGGTTGAGTTTGTAGGAGGGGGGGTCGTACCTACTTTAGTTGCTCGAAATCAGGGGTGGAATTGAGGAGAAACTAAAATTTCGTGGGTAGGAGGTTGTGCGAGCAGAGGGCGCGCAAGATAAAAATTTGCCGTTTCAGCCGGCGTATATACCTCCCTTGTGGGAAATTATGGGAAAATTTTTACCCCCCCCCCCACGCTCGACGGCAGTTTTGGAGGAAAAAGTGGGCGGAGTTTTGAGGGTTGAGTGGGTAGTGGAAGTTAATGGCATAGAGAGGAATATGGTGGTCGAGGTGTCGGAAGGGAGGTCGTACCAAATCCACCTTGGGGGAGGGGGGTCGTAAAAAATTTTCGAAAAGTAACAACGATAGGGTTGACCCTGGGTGGAAGGTGGTGCATCGCCCGAGAGCACCAAGGACACGCAGAAGTGGGTGTGTGGGCTCACCACTCTATCTACGGGTGTGCTTCGCTCAGAATGCTCTGACGACTGTTGCCTGCATCCAACATGTACAGGCCCTCTTCCTGAACCCAAGCTAACGACTATCACTATCGCATTGCACTAATGAATGTTTGTATTTTGTTACAAAACAGAACGCTGGATATGAAATCTTTATGATAAGTACTAAGTACAGGGGGAGGGGCAGAAAAAACAGACATTTTGCCCAGGTCGCACTTCGGCCTTTTTTTCGTAGAGGTTGCCGTAGCTAACGGAAGGTCCTCAGCAAATATTCCCTGAATGTCCCTCTTGAGTACACGCAGGCCCTCCCTCACTGCCCTCACCATCCTCAGAATATGACGTCATCTGTCACCGTCGTCGAGCTCAGGGAGGCGCACAGTAACTACTTCATCCTGAAGCTCTTACACAATTTCTTGGATCGGTTCAGCGTGGGATAGTTCCCTAGGGACGTTAGCTCTAACTCTGCAAAACCCCTTGGAACCCTCCCTTCGGAACCCGTCGTAACGGAACACGATCAGTCGAGAACCCCACTGAGCTTGACCAGAGCACCACGTTTCCGGGGCAAACTTTCCTGATGCCGTTCACGTAGATGGCCACGATGAAGATTTTCTTGAGAAATGAAATTCTAAGTTGGGAGCACACGCTCTGAGCTGAGCAACTTGTGATTAAATCCATTCGAGTCTGGAGACAAAATGTCTTTTTTTTATTGCCCCCCCCCCTGTATAAATTACATCCCTAGAGTATGAGTACGATGGGAGCATTTAAGAAGAGGACCTACTTTCACGATTGGGAGGATAAACAGGAGGAGGCACACAGAACAATCCGGCGGCTCGAGATAGTGAAATAGACGACCGCTCCAACCGAGGTTGACGACTTCGAAGGTGCAATCCTTGGGCTAGACGACTGACCGCTAGTTGAGCGCCGACTTGACAGGAAATCAGAATAACTTCCTGCGCAAGTGCGGTTACATCTGAACCGTGAGAAAGTCGACTGAAGCGCGACTTACTACTGGCGCATACCATGAACGAAGAAAAGGTCGTGGCAGAAGTCATGAGAACCTCTTCTCTGAAGTGCTGTGAACAGCGAGATTTTCCCGCAGAAGAATGACTGAGAAAGCAAAATAGCATGAGAACGGATTGGTAGAGGACGGAGACTTAGGCCGTTGCTGATCCAGCCAGGACTACACTTGTGTAGCGGCTCATCTTCGGCTTGTATGAAGAAAATGCGATGGAGTACAAAAGAATAGGTAATCCTTTCGAGATATCTCGCAAGAAAGGACAAATCATTGTATACTGAAATGTCTCTACGACTTTGCGTGAAACTCGAATGCATAGTGTGTCTCAGAACGATCTAATCTAGAAGATCTAAAAAACTCTCGGCTTTGAGTAATCCCTTCTGGAGTATTCAGTGTTGATAATCTAAAAGCTTACATTTTTCACATTGAAATATTTTAGCACTTTCTTATGTACGTACAGAGAAGTAAGATAATTTCCAGGCCAACCAAAGTGGAGAGGTGGACATCCTGAAGTCGGCTCTGACAGAAAAAGACAGCAAGTTAGGCATCCTTGAAGAAGAGCTGACCAAGCTTAAAGGTTCGCTGAGATTCTTTCCAGTTCATCATTTGTTGAAGGTATCACTTTCTTCGAAAATTGTAATTAGCTAAATTTGCGATAATTACAGACGAAAACGCAATGCTCCATAAGGAGAGCGAACGAAACAAGAACTCCAATCAAGCGGTAAGTAGTCTTCTAGTCGCTTCTCATTGGAACCATCGCAATGTTCGTCGAATTGTGTTGTTCTTCTACGCCAAATGAGGGGGTAGTTAGAATTTCATCATCTGGTTCGGAGGTGCGACCTTTTCCCTCCTTCAAAAGCCTGATTACAGCTTGAATCTTTTATTTGGTGAGCAAAGTGTCCGACCCATGAAGGGTGGGGTTAATGATGAGAAGGCAGCTCATTTGAAATTAAGGCCGAGGTGGGGCTGGGATGAAGAAAAAGGGATGAGAAACGGTATTCAACCCGAGAAGGGGAACTCCTTTTCTGCACGTCAATTTCCGCATTTATGCGAATCTCATCGATGCTGCTCTTTTCAGCGCTAGCGCTCTACTCGCTAAAGAGCCAGAATCGACGGCTAGACAGTGGGCGTGTAGTTGCGCGGGTATCGCGGGTATGGCCCAGCCAGGCCGCTGGGGCATACTCTTCGCTGCGAAACGCGCATGTTCCGCACTCTTGAATGACCCGCCTACCTTTCAAACAAGTAATTTCCCCTTCATGACCTCCGACCTTGATTTTTCTTTCAATAAAGGTTCCAAAATTAAATTAGTAAAGGTTCCAATGATTCAAACTAGCTTGTCAAAGAAGAACACCGCCATACGAAGAGGTAAGTTTTGTTGAGTTTTTTCAAAGAATTTCGGTCCGCTCTTTTGCTACTATTACAACTTTCTTTTTCAGCTGCAAAATGAGGTGACCGCACTAAAGAATGATAACAATGATAAAACCAACCAAATCGAATCTCTTCACACACGGTGAGGTTTCCTAAATATTTTTACTGTAACTCACAATTTTGAAATTAGCAGATTATCATATCCACTGTCCAAGACGCTTAGCAGCCTCCCTTATGGAGTAGCTCATAAAGTCCATAATCGATGCTGTTATAGATAATGACTTGTTGACACTATTTAGGGTAAAAGAGCTTCTCGAGCAAATGGGTACCATCAGGGAAGAATTGGAAAAGAAAAACATTGAAATTCAACATATTGGCGAACGGGCGGACGTGTTCAAGTGGGTTCCGTTCATGTGTGGTGACTTTTTCTTGGGAAGAAATCACGTGATATGTTTTGCTCTAAGCAAGCAGTAGCGGTAACAAATAAGAAAGCACTACATTTGCATGTCGCTAATCACAGAATGACAGATTCAGATTCGAGACTTCACAATTGGACACAGATGAGAAACTGAAGCATATGAAAGTAGAACATGAAAAAACTGTGGAACATCTCAAGGTACGTCCAAGAACTTCCGTCTTCAATCAGAAAAAAATAGAAAAGCATAGCGCTGACCAATCCCATTTTGAGATGCGCCATGCATCCTACCTCCATCCATTCGCAGTGGAATCTTTAAGCGATTTGGCCTATGTAATGACTTGCGAAGGTCAGGCGATGTACAACCTGGAGTTTTTACCCAAACAATTCAACAATTCCAGAGGAGTTCAAGGCCTAGTGGGCCTGGACGACGTACCACCCAGGAATAGATTCCCAGAGTGTGCACGTGTAAGCAGCACCACTTCCCAGTACACCATTTCCGCCTAGGTAGACAAGCAACCGTGAAAAATTCAAACTTCGAAAGTTCAAAGGGACTGCTCGAGTCTTGAAACTGAATCAGGAATCAGAAATTAGAATTGCTTAGAATCATCAGGAATCATCTGGTAGGGCAACGGTGAAAGAGTTGAGATATACTGTTTTTCGACGACGATTCATAATTAGCAAAGAAGAGCCCAAATGGATCCAGTCCTGCGAATTTGCGGTCGAAACTGATAGGATATCAAGGCATGCACGAGAAGCCCGATGTCAGACTTCGCGAATCCAGCGATTCACTAGCGTCCGTGGTCGCATCGCAGTACCAGGCAATACTGGCCGCGACGCAACCGCGCACGCTAGCGAATCGCCTCGATTTGCCAAGTCTGACGCCGGCCTAAGACGGCTTAGGAGAGGCGGTCTGATACATGATGCCACGCCTAAATGTACTGAACGCGAAGGGAAAAACTTCCTTATTTCGTTAAGAGAATCATTCAAAACTTTGTAAGAAGTTCGATATCTGCGATCGAAAACACGTTTGGCGGGATATGTTCAACTGCAAAGGCATTTTGTGAACTCTTCGCTAATAATGAAAGTCCACGGTAATTGTTGCGTGGATAAGTTGCCCGTGCACGTCCAAGAGTGTATTAAAGTTGTTTTTACTGCCCTGAAGCATTACAGTATTTTGCGCAGCGAATTTAGAATTCTCCTTCTTTCACTCAATCACGAGCTATGGCTTATTGCGCTTCGTTCTCGCAAAAATAGCTAGATCGACGTGGTCAATAAGACATTTACTCAGAAGTATGTGGTATTAAGAGACAACAATTACTAGACAACTCTCTCCTGATTTAGCAGCGCGAGACCGACTTGAAGCAACAGTTGGAAGAACTACGTCAGGAAATTAGCGCCAGCCAAACGTCAAGGGAGGAATCCGAGAATATCGCTGAACAGTTGAAAGAGGAAGTCAAGCAGAAGGCAGAAATGATGCAACAAATGGAGAAGGATTTGAAAGTATAATTCTCCAAAACTATTCCTTTCAATATGGCTTCTATTCGTTTGCCAAAATTTACTGCCTCTGAGAAATTTAAGGCACGGGTCGCGATTGAATCCTTAGAGTAAGTATCACATCGAGTGAGGTAGCAAGACCGCTGATCATAAGGTTGATGGTACCTCCACCAATTAAAAGTGTGCGATAAGGGTGCTGATGTCCGCTGCAATCGCTGCCATAATTTTCAATCGCAGCACACGAACCGTCTGCGCTCTTTCGCGCACGACGTGCTCTCTCGAGTTCGCATTCTCTTCACTTCAGCAATGTTTTCTCTCGGCTGTATCAAAGCTGTTCACAAGAAGAAGTTCCTTGTTTTCTATAGAGAGTTTCACTTTTTTCTCCACGGACATTCCTACTCGCACTTTTTGACTACTTTTCGAACAAAATAACACACCAATTCGATCGCGATCCGTGTTTTAAAAACGAAGCACATATATTGGGTTGGAGCATAACGTATCGTAGCGTTTTTCTTCTTGAGCTCAAATTCACTGACTTCAAGTATCACTCAGGAAATCACATATATTATTTGAAAGTACTACTTCTTCTGCTCTACGATACCATCTTTGGCATTTTCTTCTGTACTGTAAGTGTACTCAGATATGGCGCTTAGAAGTTGGAGAATCAGGGTAGGCGAAAAGAAAATATAGAGAAAAAACTGCCAAAACGGGAGTTTTTCGGAATCCGTCGTCATCATGGAATACTGCAGTCGACCCTTTATTTCAAATCGTATTCACGTCGTAGAAATTGAGAATAATGGGGATTCTGAGAAGAGGCTCACTACCCTTTCTTGATTTCTAAACCCGGTCATTTCTTGCTGGAACCAAAGTCGTAAATAATGACGGAAAGAACATCACTGATCATTTTTATGCTTGGCTTTGCTTTTGGATTTTGCTTTAAACGTTTTTGCCAAATGCGAGCCCTACGATATTGTGTTCTGACCTGATAGTTGCGTAAGTTCTCATACTAAATGAGAGTTCCATTGTTAAATTTAGGAGAAAAAATGCCTTTTACATGACAAAGAACAAGAACTTGGAAAGATGGAAGCCGAAATCTGTTCGATGGAGGAAAAAATGAAGGCAGACAAGGAGCATTACGAAGAGGAACTCCGCAAATTGCAAAGTGAAATGTCTGGAAGGAAGGAGCAGGAACCTGAAGACAAGACGTGAACATTTTTCCCACTTTTAGTTTTGGCTTCGATCAAAACTAGGCAAACTTCCACTTCTGGCCTGCATCTGATCTTGGCACTTATCTACCCTCCCTTTCACATAAGAGAAGAACGTCGGGTGCAGACCATACACCAGAAGTGACGACGACCTCCACAAATGTAAATGTTTTCTACCAATGGAATGATTTGCCTATTTTAGCTATATTCTGTCAGTTGTCACTAATTACAGCTATCATTTACCAAAAGTCAGCTATCACTATGAACCTACCTACCAGATTTACTTGGAGGCCGTCGTCACTTGTGGTATAAGGTCTGAATACGACTCTCTTCTCGTTGTTCGGAAGTCGGGTACTAAGGAATGCGTCGCAGCGTTTTGTGTTATGCTACTATTTTCAACGTTGCGTTTTCCAGAGTCGAAACCTTCACCACTGAAATGCAGACAGATCCTATTAGTACACCCACAGTCGTTCCCATAGTGGATCTCGCTCGAGAAAAAGAACTGAAGTCACGGATAGCAGAGTTGGAGCATGCTTTAGAAGTCAGTACAGTACCTAGTGACTAGTACCTTTCAGAAAAAAAAAGCCATACCAGTTACTAATATTGTTCTAATGTAACAAAATATTTACGAAGAGCTTCTGCAATTATAGATAAAAAATGACCTCATTGAAAAGCTCCACGAACAACTACCCGACATTTCTCGAGAGGATATATCGCTAAAGAAAAAGGACCGCTCGGTAAGCTTTTCTTTTTGTAATTCCACGGAAACTCTTTATTTACTGAACTCACTGGAACTGGTCATCAATGCTTTTTTGTAACTACTCGAAGTCAATCGCAGTTTCCATCCGGGGGCGAAGCAATGACAGACGCATTATGAAGTAGCTGCGAGGCTCATGGCGCGCGATATGACTGACACCTATACACAATACATACTATGTGGATGTGCTTTTCTGAATTGAAGGCGTATTTCACGACTATTAAGTGCGGTTACTCGTCTTAAAAAGGAGGTGGGTACGCAAAGTCGAGCATCAGTGAGGAAACTTTAAGAAACCGATGGAAACGCTTTAATTAATGATCATCTCTTTGGGCGATTGGTGGTGAGTGGAGGACGGCGAGTCACTGGTTGTTGTGGCCAGGGAACAGGCTAGAGATCGTATGGGGTGCCAAAGACGCAGAAACCCGCCGCATTGACCGCTGTTCCGCGACCACTAAAGGTTCAGGCAGGGGGGAGAGAAAAGCTCATAGGCGGCGCGGACGCGCGCGCGTGCTGGTGACGTCAAAATGACGTCGCGGCTGCGGCAGGCTTGGAAGAGGGTATAGCAATGGCCAGCTCCGCTGCCACTTCGCTCAAATAAGGCTGGGTTTCTGGCACTATACCAAGTTGTTCAATCAGTTGTGCCGCGTGCAAAATGATTGTGTTATTCACAGGTACCACGCTCCCACAAGAAGTGGAATTTTTCGGAAAAGTACAAGAGGTTATGGCTTTCATGTACAACCCATTAGGAGTACACTGTCAAAATGAAGTCGATTAGGTCAAGTCTGTTCTTCGAGTTCGATTTCTACTGCAGGAAGTTGGAGTACGATGAGTGTTCGGAGTACTCCATATGTTTAAGTAATGGTAGAAGGGCTGACCCTTGCTCGCTCCCTCGTCGCCGCTGTGACGTCACAAACACGATAACGCGTCCGCGCCGCCGGTGAACTTTTAAATGGAGCCAGTGCAGGCCAAGAACGTTTACATTGTCTCACACCCCATAAGATCTCTCGCCTAGAAGCCGGCAGACAGAGTTATGAGGTCCAATTGCCCAAGGCACGCACCCAAACCGCGAGGTTGGCACACATTCCACTTTAATGATCCGGAATCTACTGAAATGTTGAATACGTGTTATTCCAGCAAAGTATGACCACCGGTGGAGTATTTCAAAACTTCGTCAGCCAGATGAAAGATAAACGTGACGAAGCAAACGAACGAAATCGGAAAAGGGAAGTTGAAAAGAAGGCAGCCAAGGAGGCTAGAGAGTAAGCCGTTTCTTAGAGACTGGGCCGATTCCTTATTCGATAGTTATTTGTTTGACAACTTACCCTTTTTAGGATTATCAAAGAAAAGTCGCCTCTACGATCCAAATCACCATCACTGCTAACGCGCTTTCGAGAACGTAGTCCTGTCAAAACGCGTTCGGCGCTTGACAATCTAGAATTAACGCCATCAACATCAAGCAGGTGAACGAAATCCTCAGTGCCGATTCATTTCATAGACTCATATACCTATAGCACTATTCATCGTTTATAAGTGCACGTGATGACTATTTCTCACTTTTCATCGTTCAGAAACCTCCTGTCACCAATCGACGCCGATCGGCTTGAACGAAGAGGATCTCCGTCACGTCCATTGTTTAGTAGGTATCGTAAGGAACAACGGGATGCCGAAAAACGGCCTGCTTGGAAGTTTTAGGCACCACTGTAGATGGCACACCCTGATTTTCGCACAAAATTTTGAAAAGAGGGAAACTTTTTGAATGCGTGGTCATCCGCTCATTTGCAGCTTGCATTATTTTACTTAAAAGTTTACTTGACTGAAAAAATTGGACGCTCTAGGAAAGAAAAAGAGACCTCCAGAGGAAAATGCGGTAGCTATCGTTCACCTTCTGCTAATATCAACACCACCATGGGCGTGATTCGCAGTGGGTTGGGGAGACGTGAACCGGGATGGGCTAACAATACGAGATGCCCAGCTACTACGAAGTCTTCCAACCCATCCTATACATATCCCAGGGTGGACTGAGTTTTTGGTTGCGCAAACTGCGTGCCTCGAAGGACGTTATTTACTATGCCCCAGTCTCGGTCGCATATCGCGGTTTATGCGCACAAGGCCATTCTGACAGATACATGCCGATTCTTTTTTTACACGACTTACACGAAGCCGAATGCATCGATCTCTAGCTGTATCTATTAGTCATTATGTTGCGACGGCAGTCATTGAGATTTTGTCGACACCACAAATGCTTCTTGACTGTTGTCTGCAGCTGTGTAGATCTCTGTATTCAACGATCTGTTTGACAACATTTCTTGACTAATGATAACTATTGTTGTCGTCTATATCCATAAATTTGTTATCATAGATGTGTATTGGTACAGAGTACTCGATTCTATATGTATGGTTTCCGAAGACGATAACTGAGCAGTTGACAGGCTCAAAAGCACACCACGATCGAGCTGGCGATTTTACACAGGAATATGAGAACAAAGCCACGAAGGGAATGGACAGGAAAGAATAACAGAAAAATTCACACCGAACCTAAGGGTCTCTTTTGAGAGAACGGACAAGGGAGAGGAAGGATATAGGCTAGTAGGCCCCTCTCACGGCGAATGGCAGAGGAGTGGAAGCATCGTTATTCATCACTATCCACAATCCCTACTAATTACAGAAACTTGGCTTGATGGAAAAATTGTTGATGGCGAAGTTTTAGATGGTCTGAGTCATAAATAGGTCGGACTTGCTGGGGAGGGGATGGTGTTTGCTGCTTCAGCAGCAGAAACATTCTTATCGAACCGCAGCCCAGCCTTCCAAGGACTGTTTCCTGACGTGCTAGGCATTGATATCACTCCATGGAATTATTTTGAACCGTTGCGACTCGTCCTTGTTTATCGCCCGCCAAACTCCAACAAATGATGACAATGAGTTAATCGAAGTCCTTTATGACCTGTGTTGCAATATTCCCTTGTAGTCGTGGGCGACTTCAATTTGAATATGGATTGGGCTCATGGCAAATCAAAAAGAAGCGCCGATATCCGCTTTAAAAAAGGTTTTTGATAATTGCAACCTCAAGCAACGGATCACGTCGTGCACCAGAAGTACAGCTATTTTGGACCTGGTTCTATCGTCCGTAGGCACGGTAAATCACATCGATGTAATTCCCCCTCTTGGTGACTCCGATCATAATGCCGTACTGTTTGAGTTAGATTACGCGAACCCAGTGAGTTTATTCCTGCCCGAACCTGATTTCAGTCGCACTGACTACGTTATGCTCAATGACCCTGAACGCAGTGGACTGGAACTGTGTATTCAGTGATTACACCAGTGTGTCAGATCTGTACTACAGATTATGTCTAGTCTTATATGAATGCTTTTTGCAATTAGTTCCCTTTCGATACAACCGGGAGAAGGAATTTTCTATTCTGGTCATGTTAAGAATCTGGTCGAGCAGAAGCGTCGCCTTTTCAATACACTCCGTTGCAAAACTATACGACATACCCCAAATTTTGGAGTCCTAGTTTGCGGAAGCGTTTGGGAGCGTGCAAACAAACCTACAGGTGAGAATCACTATCGAATTTCATTCATTTTCAAAAGCGTGGGGTCGAAAAAACGAAAAAAGGGCCGTTGCAAAAATATACGATATAGCTACTTATTCTCAACACTCCTCAACTATATCCAGATTGCAAACGAGAAATATTACCGTTTCATGTTGCATACATGTACCATATATGTTTCTACTTCACATGGAGCAAAATGCCACGCAACAATCGCCTTTCTATGGACGAGCAAGCTGAAATCGATGTCATGCGCGACCTGGGATGGAGTGTTTGCCGGATGAGCCAGCGGATCGACCGCCCTCGAGACTGCATTGCACGGTATTTGCGGGATTTACTCGCGTATAATACGAAAACTTCAACCGGAAGACCGAAGAAGCCGAGTGAACGGATCGCCGTTCAATTCTTCGATTGGCGTCGAACAGCACGAAGACGGCTAGCGAAATCAGGGAAGAATTGGGGTTCCAAGTGAGCAAACACACGGTCATACGTGTGATTAATGACTCGTCATACATAGTCCGTGAGAAAATGAAGAGTGCTCCCCGACTTACGAAGGAACACAAGGAGGCTCGTCTTTGCTTTGCAAGAATCAACATGCAAATAAAATGGAAGAGGGTAATTAATTATTACGTGTAGTTTTGGACGACCATGAGTGGTACTTGCTGTTGCAGATCATTTTCTCCGACGAAAAAAATTCAATCTGGATGGGCCGGATGGATGGCATTCGTATTGGAGAGATCTATGCAAAAATTCAATCACCTTCACTAAGCGGAACTTTGGCGGTGGAAGCGTGATGTGCTGGGTTGCTTTTAGCTGGTGTGGCAAGCTGGATATGGTCTTCACGACTTGCCGAATGAATTCCAGTGATTACCAGGACGTGCTCAAATACCACCTTTTACCATTTATGAGAAGTAGTCGCCGCCACTGTCCCATTTTTCAGCAAGACAACGCTGCCATACACATTAGCAGGTCAACTCTGGATTGGTTCGAGGCTCATCACATCGATTTATTGGATTGGCCTGCATGTTCCCCCGATCTGAATCCGATAGGAAATCTGTGGGGCATTCTCGCTCGTCGAATCTACGCTCCGGGAAAAAAGTACGAAACTGGCTCTTTTACAAAAGGCGATACTCGAGGAATGGACACTGATACAGGAGGTTCTGAAGAAGTTGGTTGAGAGCATGCCAAATCGGCTGTTCGACGTGATAGCACATCATGGCGGACCTGTTTACTATTGACCTATCACATACTGCTATAAGGTTTAAAATTGTTGTGGAAACGTGTACTGAAATAAAATTCCTGTGAAAAAAATGTGCTATGTCGTATAATACTTTTTTTTCGTTTTTTTTTGACCCTATGCTTTTGAAAATGAATGAAATTTGAAAGTAAATCTCCTCAGTAGGTTTGTTAACACGCTGAATCGAATGGCAGTAGCCGTTTTCCTGCGATCTCACCCTCACCTCAGAACCTCGAAATTTGAGGTATGTCGTATAGTTTTGTAACGGAGTGTATGAATCCCCTAAATGATCCATTGTACAAGAAAATTTGCGCTGACTTGGACTATCACATCAAAAATTATTTGGCTTATCGTGAACGACGCCTGTTTCAACGTAGGGATTTCTTAGACTTTTTAAATACCATAGATGCGAGCTTAAAAGTGCGGTCAAACCCGCTATTACTATCGAAGACGAGGGTAAGTGTCTCAAGTCCACCAAGGAACTTGCTGTAGCCCCGGACAGTATTTCGGTAGTATCCACTGAATGCGGCAAATGCTTAGCGATGGTGAACAAACTAGTCTGTCCACTATTCAAGAGAACGCTGATGTTTTTGGAGATTTCGTTATTTTCTGCAATCCAAAGTTCTCAGAGTCTTGAAGAAATCGAAAGCTTAATCTTCTGCCGTAGACGATGGCATCCCTCAGGTCGTGTTTCGGAAATGCTGTCATGCTCTTCAATATCCTCTCACATTTATTCTTAATGCTTCCTTGTATTTTGGCGAAGTTTCCTCGAGATGGTAAGAGCCCTAGTTCCCATTTCCAAGTATTCATTCCCACCAAACTATCCCGTTTCCGACCTATAAGTTTTTGCTCTGGGTAGGTAAGTAAATAGGTACGGAAAAAATCATCTGTGAGAAGATAAGCGAATGGCTTTTAAAGAGAAGGCTGATTCCAGGCTTTTGTGTGACTCTCTTTTTGACTTGCTTACTGTCCTCAACAGCGGAAAGTCTATCGACATTATATATTTTTGACCTGACGTTCGGTAAGGTCTGTCATCGTAAACTAATAGAAAAACTGGAATTGCTAATATACAAGGGCGACTTCTCATCTGGCTGAAATATTATCTAAATTGGAGGTATGACGGTCAAATATGACAATGAGTTTTCAAAAAGATATCCTTGAACAAGCGGAGTTCCCCAAGAAGGGGCACTATCACCACTACTTTTGGTGTGTACAGCTGATTTGCCGAAAATTCTCAAGGTTCACCTCAGCGTCATGGTTGAGATGTTTGCAGATGACATCAGAGTTTACTGTGCTTACGACAGTCATGAGCAATCTGTAGTACACAAGGCCCTGAGCTGTTATTGAAAAGATGATGGATTGGTCTTCGGTATGGGAGCTACCTCTCGACTTGCATAATAAACAAAGAAGAGGTGTTGTCATAGTACGCCATTTCTAGTGACTAGTTCGACGTTTTTTGCTCCGTTTCTCGTTTGCTCGTTTGACAGACACGTCAAACGATCATTCTTTGACTTTTTCACTTTTATACTTTTTAAACGAGTTTTTTGTGGACGGGGTAGCAGGGCTTTTTTATGAGCAGTTTTTTTGGAGAATCGAACAACTTTCATAGCTCGGCTTTTAAAGAGGGTTGTTTCATGAACTTCGGACTTCGGCGAGGGAGGGGGGGGTCGTATTTCCGAATTTTCCTCGACGCCTCGCTTGACCCTGGTTCGGCTTGCTGAGTCACTCTAAGTAATTTCACCTTTGTCATTTATAGAAGCCGGAATTGTGCAATGTGCTTTCAATCACGAGTTTACATATTGATAGAGGTGTCTATCATTTTTGAAGGACAGAAGAGCTTTCTACGATTTCTGATATATTTCTCACTAAGCTTCAGAAAGAAAATCGTGTCGAAGAAAACCCATCTGTGATACGACCCCCGCCTAAAACGCGAGGTCTCGGTGACCCCCTTCGTAAAAATCAGCCATGAAATCAGATCACTAAGCGATCAAAAGCAGTGCAATAAAAAAGATTCATTAGCAGTTCTTGTCAATGACAAAATCACCTCTATTAACAAGGGAATCCTGAAAAATAAAACATTCTCCTCTTGCAACAGCGGCGATTGTTCACGTGTACACTCGTTACACGACGGATGATCGACAGGAACGGAGAAGGATGATAAATGGGACCTAACAATGAATGTGTCACCGAACATGAAGGGGCAGCTGGTTCCTCACGCGGCTGCGCGTGGTTCACGCCGTGGAGCGATCTATCTCGAAAATTTGCCTTCTCACCTTAGGCTTCAAACTTAATAACTTTTTAGAGACTTGATATTTTGGAGAGCTGTTTGTGTGCTTGGAAGAGCTTCGATTGCAGTTTTTTACAATCTTTGAAGTCGAGGAAATATCCAGGATTGCAGTAATTCATTGAAACCTCTAAAATGCGTTAGGTACGCATCGCTTCGCTGTCGCTGATACAACTACGCCATTTGGTTTCGTTAGTAGTACAAGTAGTATAGATACGTTTAGTGTACGCCATGCTGTCGGCCTTCGCTCGTATTTTAAATCAATTGAAAGGTGTTGTGCGCGCATGATGACTTTTTGATAAGAGCCGAAGTGTTCGCAGCTGTGGGAATTCTCATAACCACGGTTCAGCCCCACTTGCTTGCTCTTTCATTTTCAACGCTTCTCTGACAGGACGGCTCCGTTCCTGAAACCAGCAGTAATCTGACTAACTATGTGGTATACGTTTCTGAATGGAAACTGAAGGTGAGACTCGTCCTGAATGGGGATAGTCCCACCTTGGGTGGTCATTTACCCTGCATGGAATATTTTTAGCAAATATCTGCTATAAGTGGGTAAAAAGGGGTATAAAGACACTATATGAGTGAAAACGTTTGGCAACTACACTGCGACGCATAATTATAGTTTTACCTAATTTCAGTGCTCGGCTGGATATCATTTTCTCACGATACGGCGCTTATATCAGTCGGATAGTAATCAGGGTTCCTTCCAGTCGTATCCTGTAGCATCCAAATTTGTACGTTATGAAGTCACCCCGATAAGTTCCAGCGGAGCTGACACTTTGACAATTCCTGCGTGTCTTTTGCTAGGATTTCCCTTTTACGGAAATGTGACAGCGGTTTTGCCTTTGCTATAAGCTAAGGAACTTGAATGGATAATAGTTCCAAATTTTGATTGGGTAAAAGCAAAATGCAGCGGTGAAGCTAAAGCGAATATTTTCGAAAAAATAAGGATAAAAATTGTGACTCGGTGCAACAGTTTTTGTTCATAGCATCCACATAACTCTTACTGGAAACTAGTAGCGAGCGTCAGCTCTGTTGCCTCGTAAGCACGTGGGTAGTACTCGCTACTCATTTTCAAGGAGTGGTTGGAAGAGCATAAGTCTTGGTAACTGAAAAGAAGTTCTTTCGTTTATTAATATCCACTTACACCTGTTAGTTAAAATTTAATATGAATAATTCAAGATATAAGTAAGGGAAACCGTGTCAAAGAAGAATTTCCAGTTCTTAAGCTCTGCAATTAGCAAAGAACAAATAGTATTAAATCACAGGTGGTTGAACTGATGAGCAGTGTATTTTAGAAAGGCACGGTCATCATAGCTTGGAGGAGTAAGTCTACCCACTTTATGTTTCACGCTGTAAAACATCCTACTATTCACAAAGAGAGCATATGAAGATCGTAATCCTACTCAGAAGTCGATACAGACAATACTCGTCCTGATGGCTCCGCCCCTTCGCCGCACGATTGGCCGCACGCGGTGGCGCGACGAACCATCGATTCTGTTGACCGTTCCCCGTTCGGCTCCCCTCCATGCTCGCGTTTTTGCACTTTTCCGATTATCACATTTTTGCATTCGCATGTGCTTGCGCGTGAGCTCAAAGCCTATAAGTGTCATTTCCAAGAACTTTCTCTCACAATTCTGCGATATTCCGTATTACCATGTTTTTTTCAGTTGTGTACAAAATTCCGTTTACAAGCAATAAATAATTAGAGTTTAAAACTCAGTGAAGCATCTGAATCACAGACGCAGATCACACCAACTGCTTCTAACGAAAACCAGAAAAGTGCAGTGGTCATTTTCTTCGCAAAAAAAAACACCTACTTCATTTCCCTTGAAAGCAGATTGCTAGCGTTGAGGAATGTCCAGAAAGCTCGTCGACGTGGTGCCCACCGAGGCATACGCCATGCATCGGCGAGATCAAGGGGTGATGCCAGATTGCCTCATCGGCAGGAACTGCGGTGGAGGTGTCACTATCAACCAAACGTGCCGCTTGCTATCATCTCGAAGCTCTCTTCAAGAGGGAAGCGTCCATGGCCCAATTTTTGAATTTGAACCAAAATCTTAATTTTCTCCGAAACTGCGGCTATAAGGGTAATAAGACGAGCTGATTACGAACCTGACGTCCATTCTTGACGAAGGCTCGATATTGCGCCATTTTAGCCTCATCGGGCACCATTTCGGTGCCGCTTGAGTGCCATACAATTTTCGCCCCAATTTGGGGCGGAAAGCTAATCAGAAAGGTTAATGAAGACTCCGATTGTAAGCACGGAACCTATCTTCATCGGCGGCAATATTTGGCGTCATTGAACAGGCGCTAGTGTTAAATGCAAAATTTTGCTGTCAGCCGAGACCGATCCCTCGACCGATTTTTCAGCCCTTTTTTGGCATTGACAGGGCCACTCAAGGCTCTTCTGGTGAGACTGAAACCGCGTCTGTGGACCTAATTGAGCAGCCCGCACAACCTCACACACACAAGCTGGTGTTATTCCTCTAACAACTTCGAGACCAGCTATAATCTCATGCGATTTCTGTCACCATTCTAATTTGATAATGGATAGAGCGTAAAAAGTAAAAGGCAAGGCCCTAAAAATATACCGTGCACTTGCCGTAAAATTAGAAGAGGTGGACCTTCGAGAACAACTTATGTTTATGATATCTGCATGAGATTCCTCTGCGAATGGCTGATGTCTATCAGTCATTCCAGTATTACAGAAAAAATGGGTTGAAGCTCAGTGAGGGAGAGAGGATGGGAATGATCTCCATATTACTGCGCATTCACTAGCTGTTGCGAATTGGGGTTGCTCAACGTGCAGGATGATTGCGAGGGAAGGATTTCTCGTTCTCGGCGCCGATGAACTATAACGGTAGTCTGTTTCCTTCCCCGTGGGGTGTATCTCTCCCCCCTCGTGTCGCAAGCCTTGGACTACGGGCCTGGCCACCTCACGCCTACTTTCCTGCTGTACTGTCACATAAGATCCGACTACTGAACTAACTCCTACAATAAAGACAGTTCGTGTGAACTAGGAATTTGACCTCTTCTCTTACACCAACACAACACGGCGCTCGTAAATTTATGTATCTTAAAACCCACCGGAACCGTAGGTTAGCACACAGATCGATAAGACCTACGATTCCGTTCGGAGACCTGCGATTTTCTGATGTATTGACTGGCCGCGCACTGCAAAATATCGATGATTTCTTTGCGACCGGCTCTGGACAAGATAGACTAGTGAACAGTAAGTTTCAGTGGATGTTCCAAAGGCCCACGCCCTAACTGTAGCGTCGTCGCCATGACAGAACGATGTGAGGAGAGCACTGTCCTCCGGCGTTAGTCGGGGGATGTTAGTAGAATAATAGGTGATCGACGGTGGAGGACAGCGACGTGACAAGGGGAAGAGTGTTAGTACAGGGCCGTGCGGTGAAGTGATTAGATGACCGCACGGGGAAGGAAGACGATAGAAGATGCTGAGCCACTCCGATCAAGGCACACAGGGTAGCTGCCGTCTTTCCCGCTCGACCACAGGTGGTAGGGTCCTAAAGGAAACGGGTCAAGTAGCGGCTTACTACGATGGGCGCTAGCACACCCGTTGTAAACCACGGGAGCGAGCCTTGCCATTCGTGACGCTAGCCCTTGAGCCGTAATAAAACCAGCTGTTCTGAGTTTTGGAGCCGAAAACAATTAAGCAGTCCTGCTCTCAACACACATTCGAAGGTGGAATTTCATGACGACTGGAGCTCCAATATTGGTGACTACAAAAGTGGGAGTGAGACATGATTCATTTCTCTGAGTGGGTGCAATTTTGCAAAATCAAAGAAAATGAAATACGCCTACTAAAATCATGCGAATAGGGCTGAAGCAAAAACAGAATCGGGAGGGCGCTGTATCATTGATACGTCGTGTCATTAGATGACGAGTCCAGGGTGAGAATGAAAATGTTGTAGGTTCCAAGCGCTTGGGCGGAGCGCCGCCTATATGAATAAATTGCAGCTCCTGACGTCGACTTTCAGAAATTGGAATCAGCTCCATCCTTCGTCTCACCTCGGCTACGGCATGAAGGTTATCGCCTCTATGTTACAGTGGGGTAAGTCACTACTTGAGAACCACAGCAGTAGCGTTCTAAAAGCCTGCAGTACATTGTTTGAGAAATCTGGATTTTATTTTAGTCGTCGTTATCGCCTCCATATTGTGCTACGTCGGAGTGATCGAATGTAGGAACACTACTGCAGGGAACCAAAGTAAGACTACTTCATCCATAACTACAATGTCTGGCAAAAGTATTGACGTTAGGAAAGCACACGGTCCACCTTCTCGCTGGACTGTCTTGAAGATCTGGTCCAGCTTTGCTCATCACAATACAATCATCGAATTTTGCTACCCACTGTTTGTTGATTTGGTGCCTTTACTAAAAGTGTTTCTTGGATCAGCAGCGCTTTGACAAGAGCTCGATAATTTTGCCGCATCCTGTAAGAGTACACAAACAAAAGTAAATTGATCTTTAACAACGAGTATAGCGTCAGGGTCTGCTTCAGCTAGAACGCCGACTAATGAAACGGCGTTGTGACGATTTGTAGCGTCGCAAACCGTCGCACCGTCATAACTCACTCCAAAGCGGGTAAAATGAAAGGATCTCACAGCGATGGACTCGTCTCTCTGTGGCAAGTGTAACCATGTACAAGATTTGGCTTCCAACCATGATTTGGTTGAAGTTCTAATAAGTTATTCCATGAAAACTATCACCGATCCCTCTCTGACAGTCTCGCCTCTCCTGATTTCCACTATCTCCCCAAACGGGGACCAGTTCAACGTCCAGTCATCCTTCGACACCTAAAAATGTTGCATCGCGGCGACGCCTAAAAAGGCCCCGCCGCTGCGCGCGGCCTTTTAGGCGTCGTCGCGATGCAACATTTTTCCGAGAAGCGCGGAATTTTTGGATTTGACAGGAGGAGCAGCGAATTCCCTGCAGTCCACTACAATTTCTGTGGGGCGCGGATACCAAATTTCAACTCCCATGCTCTGGCTTTCCATAGAAAGTGGTGTGAACAAAATTGTTTTCGATTCCATAATAATATATTACTGAAAAACACAAAAGGAAAAAGTTTGAAGGAATTGAAACCATGCGCGCATTGATTGAAGTTGAATGTTGAAGAGAGGGGTTCACAGAGCGTTCCTCTAACGTTCAATTAGAATAACGCACACAGAAACTCGTCCACTGCAGTTGCAACGTCGTGGCCATGACCAGCAGCCATGGTGTAGTGGGTGACACGGCAACATATTTGGTGGGGCTTATAAAGTGATACCGACTGATGAGATCTGATAAGAGGCGCTGAAACACAAATTTCACGAGATTCATAGCCGCGTATCCTAGTACAAGAAGTGATGTGCAGGGTAGGACGGGAACATGTTTGGCGGAGGTCAAAAGACAACATCAGCTGATAAAAGCTGAAAAACGGCGCCACAGCGCCAATTTCACGATATCCATAGAGCCCCAGCGGCAGTGGGGCGTCGGTTCCAAGAGGTGATGTGCAGGGTGAGACGGGAATATATTTTGTGGAGGACAGAGAGTGATAACGGTTAATAATCCGATAAGAGACGCCAAAACGCCAACTTCACGTATCCATAGCGAGCGTCCCAGCAGCAGTGGGGCGTTGGCTCCAAGAAGTGATGTGCAGTGTGGGGCGGGAATATGTTTGGTGGGGGTCAGAAAGTGATAAGGACCGATAATGTTAATGACATAAAAATTGCTTGACACCAAATACTAGCTAAGAACCAAACTCATTCCATTTCTTCTTCATCGCGTATCATCTTCTCTAAATACATTCAACCGCTACTCTTTCCAAAGTTCTTAGGAATGTATTGTGGATGTTTGAAGAAATATGATAATGACTACTGGGTATTTCTTTTTTAACACTATTAGCATCAAATATCATCCGATCGCTAAATTAACCTGACATTCAACGCATGATAGTTGTTTAGATACACCACTTTACCTCTCCACTCTAACGCATATCAAGCGGTGAGCCTCAGCAAAATGGAGAGGTAGGCCGTCTAGCGCGTTTCGCGATGCAACTCAGGTTCGCATTCTTTAGCGGTGCGACCTAATCGGCTATCCAGATTCAACGAAGCCTGCCGTGCTACGTGCGCGATAGCTGTTAACTTTGACGCAAACTCCGCCCGCATTTTATCACGTAACACACCAATAGCACTTGACCTCGCTTCCGTTGTGAGACTCGATCCACTTTTTTCCCAGTTTCCAGGACCTCTTGAGACCGAGCTATAACGTTTTGTGGATAACCACGATTTTTCTTTTTTGTTAGCAAACTCCGCCCACTTTTGTGTACGTCGCGCCTACCTTTAGCATTCAACCTCTTATTCTTCTCTAACCTCTGTCCACCTTTTTCCCGCTCTCCAAGACTTCTCGGAACCGAATTATGGAGATTTGTAGAAACGTTATATACTTCAGGGTACGCTACGCCCATTGTGGGCGTGCCCCCGCTCACGTCATGTGTACTGGAAATGCCTCAGGCACTGCTTCCCTTCACCAATTGTATTTCTGCTCTTTAGTCTTTGCAGTAACTGAGTTATGAGTTTTCAATGATTACGTGACTACTTAAACTCTCCCTGTGTTCTCTGCCGCGAAAGGCCAGAGTGGAGACGATAAGAGAACGGCGCCTGGCTCGGCTTCAAAATCCAAGAAGGAAGGTGAAAACTCTAAGACTAAGCTTTGGAGAGAGAAGGTGAGCCAATCACATTGTGGCAAAGTTTGGTTGTGTCAGATCACAATAATCATAATCGGCTGTTTAAGCGAGAGAGCGCAGGCTAGAACATCGAGTCGACGCGGTTCAGAGGACTGAGTCCAAGTTGTCCGTAGACCTTTTCCATTTGATACTGCTTTTTTGTAGACTCCCGCCCACCGAACGGTAGGGTTTCCCTATTTCCTATCTGACTTACCAACTGCACACTTTTTCCATAGTTCCGAGGCTGTTTTTTATTAAACTTGAAGTCATGGCTGTCAGTACAGTTCATTTCGATGCACGCCACGCCCGCCGTGGGTTCTACTTAGCTGCTGTGTATTCTGTACTTCGCGAGACCTTGCTCACCCATCCCACACTTTACCCGATCCCTCCAGGTGGATCCTAAGGAGCTAGGGAGTTTCGTATGTAAAGATGTAGCTGAGCTCCTCAGTGCTAGATGGTTTGAACGAGCTCGTGCGGGAAATTTTTTGAAGAGACGAGCACCTTGGCGTTTACGTCCAATCGTAAGTAGCGAAGGGCCTGAAATGAGGCCTTACGAAATCATGAGGCGGTAAGCTAAGAGCTGGAGAGATAATGGAGACGAGGAGAGGCGAGACTTTTAAACGAGCGATCGACAATAGTCTCTATGGAATAACTTATTGCCGGCGAAACCAAATTAGTAGTTGCGTATATGGTTAGACTCGCCACATAGAGGCGAGCCCATTGCTGTAAAGTCCTTTTATTTTACCCGCTTCTGAGGGAGCTACGACGGTGCGAAGTTCCGACGCTACATAATCGTATAAAAAAGTCGGTAGATGTTCTAAAATTAGGGACAGTATTGTACTTCAGCTACAACACCGACTAGTGAAATGACGACTCCTTCAGGAACAACGACGACTACAGAGTCGACGACTACTTCAGCTACAACGCCGACTACTTCAGCTACAACGCCGACCAGTGAAACGACGACTACTTCAGGCACAACGACGACTACAGAGTCGACAACTACTTCAGCAACAACGCCGACTACTTCAGGCACAACGCCGACTAGTGAAAAGACGACTACAGGGTCGACGACCACTTCAGCTAAAACCCCGACTAATGAAACGACGACTACTTCAGGCACCACGACAACTACAGAGTCGACGACTACTTCAGCTACAACACTGACTAGCGAAACGACGACCACTTCAGGCACGACAACGACTACAGAGTCGACAACTACTTCAGGTACAACGACGACTACAGAGTCGACGACTACTTCAGGCACGACAACGACTACAGAGTCGACAACTACTTCAGGTGCAACGACGACTACAGAGTCGACGACTACTTCAGCTACAACGCCGACTACTTCAGGCACAACGACGACTACAGAGTCGACGACTACTTCAGCTACAACGCCGACTACTTCAGGCACAACGCCGACTAGTGAAAAGACGACTACAGGGCCGACCACCACTTCAGCTAAAACGCCGACTAATGAAACGACGACTACTTCAGGCACCACGACAACTACAGAGTCGACGACTACTTCAGCTACAACGCCGACTACTTCAGGCTCAACGACGACTACAGAGTCGACAACTACTTCAGGTACACCGACGACTACAGAGTCGACGACTATTTCAGGCACAACGCCGACTAGAGAAACTACGATTACTTCAGGTACAACGTCGACTACAGGGTCGACGACTGCTTCATCTAAAACGCCGACTAATGAAACGACGACTACTTCAGGTACAACGACGACTACAGGGTCGACGACTACTTCAGCTAGAAAGCCGAATAATGAAACGACGGCTACATCAGGTACAACGACGAGTACTACACCTACAACGACGAGTGTAGAAACGAAGTCTGTTTTACACCAAACGAGTGACACCAAGACAAATGAAGCCACACCGCGAACACCTGGAGCATCCGAAGTGAACCCTTCCCCAGAAGAGTCTGGTAAGTTATGGTATAATAGTTTTGCAAGATGATAGTTGAAGTTATGCTGCTTACTGGAAATCTTCAGGCGGAGCACTCTTCAAAGTTCCTCCATCAGATAATTCGTCATCGACGATCGTTCTCTCGTTCCTAAGTCTGCTCATCTTCCTGGGACTTGCTGCATAGAATGAGTACGCAACTAACAAGTGATAACTTTCAAGATGGTCAAGCTAACCGCGAGTAATTCCACGAGTATATCTATAGGATTCGTTTATTTCGTATTAATTGTATAATCTGAGCTATGCACGCAAATATGCGCTATGCTTTACACGTTGACGACAGCGTGACGCGGTAAAGAGTCCCACTTTGCACACCTCCTGGGACATTGTGACACGATAACGTGTCCCACCCAAGTTTTTCCTTTTTTACGCTTACGCGGCTTATTCCTGAGGTGCTTGTACTCATTCTATAGACCACACATTAGCATACTCAAAAACCACACAGCTCACAGAAAGGCCAAATATTCTTCAGTTTTGCAGAGGTTTTCTACTTACACATCATTTCGGTCAAACTTCCATTGTAACTCCTGATAGGTTAGACAAACCGAGCATTATTAAAAACACTTCATCGCACCTACATATTGCGAATAAACAGCTCAAAATACATTGATTTGATGTGCGGCGGCGGCACTGGGCTCTGGTCCCATGCGGTGCAAAAACAAAACGCGCGATATCGTCAACGTGTTAATAAAAAATTTCAAGAAGGTATGTTGAAGCTAAAAGTGGAAGATGGCTCCCCTTTCACGCCAACAAGGAACAGAGTTATTGAAGAAAAAACGGTCCAAATTTGTGTATCCACCTTCACCACAGAAATGGCTTTGAGGTCAGTCGGACAGCAACTTTTATGAGGGAGTCCAGGCTGCACCGAAATATCCCTGAAGAATAAAAATGTGCATTTACCTTTGCTGTGATAAAAATGAGAAATTACCATCAGTGAAATTGTTTAAGACCTCGATTCATGGAGCGACTATTGTAAAAGATTCTTAGTCCGTTCGGAGTGCGAAGGGGGTGTAAAAATGGTGCACGAGTGGCAAAAGAATGGGAGAAGTTATGAGCACGCAAGGTTGGACCGACTTATTCGCTTGGCAACCAGGGTGAAAATCGTGTCGAGGATGTGGTCGCAGAAGTACACTCCCCTGAAATCAAGGTCCTGGCACAACCTCCCTAAAACAGAGCATACACAACTAATCCAACTAATTAATCAAAAAATTCCTGTAAAAGAATGATGTAAACACCTTCTCCTGTCATCTACGCACTTTCTTTCATCGCTGCACACTTTTGTGTATTTGCTGAAATATAGACTCGAGGGAAGAGGCGTTAACTTCGTGTTATTTCAAAGGTAGGTTCCTTTAGCAATGTACAGAAATCCTCAAGTCACGGGTGGCGATTGAGTCTTAATTCCAGCTTGAGCATATCACAACAGCTGAGTGTGTCGGTCAACGGTATTCAACGGCAGCTGCGGCGCGATTGGTCCCAGGGTCAGATTTGCTTAAATCCTGAAATCTACACCCTCGATGAAATTGTTCTATTCCTTCATTTCTCAACCTTTTAAACAGCACGCGGTAGGGGTAAACAGAGCTAGAATCGCTCCTATCAGGCAAGATTGGAATAGCTGCGAAAGCCTTCCATTCGAAGAGATATAGACTCGTACAATCCGTCGAGGCAGCATCAAGGACGCTGAAATTTTCCTGCGAGTTTTTGCCACTTAATCAGCAATATCCCTTTAATTTGGCAAGATTTAAAAAAAACGAAAAGGGTTTTGGAAACTGGAAGGTTTGCGTTTCCCGAAAATCTGTTTAGATTTTTCCAACACTCCTTAATGGAGAAGATGGCTGCGTCGAGAATATATTGAGGGCGATACTAGCCACTCAAAACGCCGCTCTCTTCTTCACCAGTGAAGGTGTAATTCGTTGTCAACGCTCGGAATAAGCCCAGAATACATTCTTTGAAAATAAGCAAAAAGAAAATGGGCAATCGTCGTCATCCGATTCGGCTGGGTATATGCCTTGCATCCGACCTTCACTGGAATTTGCGAATCGATTGAAAGGCGTTATATGATTATGACCATTTGACCGATGCTGCATTGTAGTGAACACATTTCGTAACTACTATAGCCTGAATGTGAGGGAAAAGCTTCATTTGCCCAAGGCACATCTTTTTCGTAGTTTTTGCGACAACTTCCCTAACGACAGTGCCATTCTCAGCGAGGTATTAAGGGCGATGGAGCGGGCGATATACAGAGGAGCTGTCTTTGCAGGGCGTGTGCACATGAGCCGTCATTTTTGTGGGAATGCACTTCCATTCTTTGTACTGCTTTCAAATACGTCCTCCTCATAAAGGTAGAGGAATTGAGCGACTGAACCTGCAAAGAATATTTTATATCATGTTTTTTTCACATATCTTCGTTTTCTGCTGCGCTACTCCCTCTTACTCCTATCTGCACCACGATACCATTGATGTTACTAACTCCCATGAAAACGAACCCCATGACCCAACGTGACAAATACGATCCCCCCTCTGTCGAGGGCCCCTCGACCGATTTTCACCTTGCTAAGCTTAGTCAGCTTCTGTGGAACTCTGTCATAACGCTTTTTGACACCTTTTTGGTTCAATAGAACGATTTCAATAGAACATCAAATTTTGAATGTAAGTAAGAAAGTTGGGAGTTCTACTGGAGCGTTCGACAGTGATAGTTACGTGATTGTAGACGACATATATAACACGGTCACAAAAGCGTCTATGAAGATCATCAATGTCGCTGTAATTATCAACAGTAGGTCTCAATTGACTTCAGAAAGGTAACATTTCATGGAATTATATTCAGAAAGGATACTGCTACTGCAAGTTGGAAAGTTTACATCAGGGTCAAGCGTGCGTTGAGGAACCCTCGACACGTCACAGGGGGGGGGGGCGTATTGGCCCGCTGGGAGGAATAGATTGGGCCGCGTTGATGCAGCAGGACCATCACCGTCAGAGGACAAACATCAAGGATCGAGTCGATGCAGGCCAGAGGATTTTCAATAACAATGTTATTCCGCCCACATAAAATCTTCGTGATTCAGAAGTGCCCGCTCAGCAATTCTTAGTTACTTCAGTGTTTTATCACCACACCAGCTGAAGAATCCGAAATACGAACGTTTTCCAAGGGATATTTTACATTTCAAGTGACTCCTCGAATCTGAAGGGATGTGAAGCACACGGCGCTTCCCAGAGTGGGCCCAGTACGGTTCTCTGGAAAATCTCACTTCAGGAAAAAACTAGAGGACCCTAAAAGGGTCCGTGTGAAATTGCAGGGAGCACTGCACTATTCAACAAGAAACGCAGTCTTCAGCGTCAAATTCATGGACATATTAGTGTTAAAGTTGAGATTCGCATCAACCACTTATACTATTCTCGACGTTCCCTGACGTCGAGAATACTATAAGCGGCTGATCGAATAGCTAACAAATTTTCATCAGTGAGTGCTCAACAGTATTCTCGACGTCAGAGAACGTCGGGAATACTACTGAGCACTCACTGATAAAGAACTAACTCACCGAAGATTCCACCGATGCGGAGCAGTAGCTCACGCCCTATGTTAGTTGACGTCTGTGAAGCGAGTGACCTTTATTTTTATTCATTTGATTCATTCTAAATAAGGAGATTGGAGCATGTGCGGTTTACGCGATAACGATTCTCGGATAAGGAATGTATATAAGAGTTTTGCACGCAGTGCGTGTGATACACGGATGATGACATCTCTACTGACCACCTAATAGATGGCGTTAGTGTTCAAAATGATACTCAATCGACGAGAACATAATCAAATGCAAACCACTGCACGTTCTGAACAGAGACTGTTACCTGTTGTGCCATTTCCACATGCCATTTACAAAGAACCTGTACCACTAGGTGAAACTGAAAACTGGTGAAATTTAGAATCTTGTCATCTGGTGTTCTAGCCATACTCAATCGATACAGACAGCTTCACAATAAAAACAAGACTCGTGAGCAATGGCAAGGGTTCAGAGAAGTACGTGAGTTAAGATCGAACGTCAATTCGCATCTCTGAAAGTGATAAGGGTGGGGAGCTTGTCGTTATGCCACTCAGCGGACCGCGAGATAACTGAGCTCCACCTGCAAGACTCAACGATTTACCGCCGCATTACCGTTGAAAACTTTGTGGAGCAATGTAGGCACCTGTGGGTGACAGTGTGAAAATCAGCTGGGATTAACTGAAAACTCTTGACGAGACTTAAGCTAGATAAAACCACTTGTCCAGTTTTCTACAGTCTTATCAAGACCCACAAACTTGCTCCGAGCGACATGCTATCAATGTCACCAGACACTTACAAAATACGATCGATCATAAGCTGCGTTGGTGGGCCAACCGATTGAATATCGTGGTACCTTAAAGGCAAATGTCGGGCTCAACAAGGGGGAATTATGACGACTGAAAGTGAGCGTAGAGATGCGAAGCGGAACGACAGTGGAGAAAAAACTGAGAAAAACCGTCGAAAAGGCTGTTAACAAAACCATCTTTCCCACTAGCAGTGAAGGAGGCTGGCTTGGGAAAGAGGCACGTACAAACAAGTTTTCTGAAGATGTCAGACGTTCTATCGGTTGATGCGGCAATCAACCATGCTGATTTCACACGTTCTGCCAGCCACGCATCACATCCCAGAGTGGGCGGTCGTAGCGGGGCCAGGCGGCGATAGCGCATAGTACGTGCCCTGGTTCCTTATTACCGCGTCGTTTGAGATTTCGAGCGTGGGAACAGCTGTACGAGTGCGTAACCAAGTACAGACATGAACGAAAGGGTTGGTTTGGTCAACTAAGCCCGACCTTTGCCTTAAACACGATTGTGAGCCAATTGCTGACCAAAATTCCCTCCCATCTAACCAACACGAATCAGTTTCTTCAACGTCTGCACAGCTCCAACTTCGGAAAAGTTCAAAGTTGTGTGGTGGAGTCATTTGATGTTACTGCACTTTATCCGAACGTACAAAATGAACAAGCTTTACAGGCTCTGCCCGAAATGTTAGATGGACATCTCAATAACATCGAGACGTTTGGACCAAATAAACTGCACATCATTATTCTAGGTGAGGAATGTTTACGTTGTAACATATTTAGATGGTCACGACG